CAATAGAGGGGACGGTAAAATGCCCTATTAGGGTAAGGTCCCCTTAATTAAACAATTAAAAAAAAGAAAAAAGAAGAAAATAAAGGTCTCCTAAGTCCACTCCACACATGAAGGAGGCAACGGGGAAGGCCATAAAGCTTTTCTCCGCCCTCCTCCGTGCGAAGAAAGGAAGGTGGGTGGATGATACGTAGGAATAAGCTTGGGTAGCCTTGTTGAAAACGGATCGGGAAAAGAAAGCAGGGAATGGGGAAGGCTGACTTGCTGGAAGCTTGGGTACCCTAGTTGAAAGCAAGTCAGGTTATAGAGATAAGAGTTAAATTAGAGGAAGGAAGGAAGGGGGTGGGTGATCCGTAGGAAGCTTGGGCAGCCTTGTTGAAAGCGGATCGGGAAAAGAAATCAGGAAAGGAGGAGGATGGCCCTCGGGAAGCTCCGGCAGCCCTGTTGAACGAGGGTCGGGAGGAAGTACACACCAAGAAACAGAGGCAGAATACATTATATGGTTCGCAAGACATCAGCACGTAATAGCGAACAGCGAGGTAAAGAAGGAAGAGCAGACGGGACATGGAAGCAGTATCGCCCCGAACGACCTCATTGCTATGGCCGTTCCAACTGGTCAAACATCATCAAGCAGTGACGAAGAAAAAGGAGAACACAAAGAAAGGACTGTGGACAGCCGAACCGAGGATTCAACAGCAGACTCGGAAACGGAGATTAAAAAGGCAATCTCCAGAGTGGAGCAAACCTGACAGGGAATGAAGATGAAGAAAAGAAACAACAAGAGGAACCTGGAAAAGGAACAAGAGGAAGCCAGAGAAACCGAAAAGCGGAAGCTAGAAAAATACAAACAGATGAAGGATGCTCCAAAAGCTAAAACCATCGAAGAAGAAGCGCTGGAATCAGAGAGGAGAAAACTAGAAAAATTCGAGGAGTATACAAGAAGAACCAGAGTGAGAACATACGAGAGGAAGAAGAAATGGCAGAAGAAATTAGAAACATGGAAAAGCGGATAGAAGAAATAAAAATCAGAAAACAACAACTAGCCAAAAAGAAGGAAGAAGAAAAGAAAAAAGCGGAAGAACTAAGGAGGAAGGAAGAAGAGAAGAAGAAAGAAGAGCTAGCCAAACTAGAGAAGGAGAAGCAAGAAGAACAAAGGAGAAGGGAAGAAGAACAAAGAACAAGGAAAAGAATGGAAAAGAGAGAGAGAGAGAGAGATCAAAAAGATGCTAAGAAGACAAGAAGAAGATAATGAAAGGCTACAAAATGGCATACGTAGCAGAATTTCATCACCTTCCTCAGAAAGTAGTCTGGAGTCGGAACTAGAATATACACAAAGCGACTCGGACGAGACCGGAACAGAAAGGAGCTTCCACATGGAATTCAAAGAAGTGGAAGACAGAGAATGCGAGTCCCCCGGGGAGGACACAAGAAAACAGAAAGAAGAAGAGCAGATGGAAGCACAAGAGGAACTTAAACGAAAAAGAACAAGGGATCAAGAAGCGGAAGAAGAAGCAAAAAGGATCAAAGAAAACAAAGACGACGAAGACATTGTATATGTGGACCCAATCGATGACCCACTCGATATTACAAACCAATTGAGACGCACGTCAACGACGTCCCTCCAAGATTTCTTCACACCGCAGATTAGGGAAGAAGTAAACGATGTAGAGTTCGACGTCGCGGCAGCAGAGTGGGCGAGAGTTCAGAGCCTGCAAGAAGAGCTACAACGATAGTACTCCGACAGTAAGCAGGGAAAAAGAGCTTTCCAGAAAACCAAGAAAACAGACGAGTTTTACGCCGGAGTCACAAAGAGATTGATAGCAAAAATAAGGAAGTTAGAGCAAGTACTGGAGGTGCCCAGGAGCAACCAAGCCAACGCTCAGGCCAGCCAAAGCCAATACGAAATACAAATAATCCTGGCAGAAGAGAACTAGAGAAGAGAGGCTGATATGCAAAAGATACTCAACGCCATAACAGAGCAGAAAGAAACTGAGAACAAAAATAGAAAATACCTCCAAACGCAACAGGTACAAATGAGACTACAATTGGAGAAAATGGAGAATGAGATGAAGGAGATAAAAGAAGCATACAAGAAGAAAGAGGTAACAAAGGAAGCGATAGAGAAGGTAGTACTGGAAGCAATCGGTTAGGTCATGGCCGAGAAAGGAGAGAACATCATTAAGCAGAAACCTATCGAAGACGCGATCAAGAAAGGGCTAAGCAGCGTGCAGGAGGCGGTGATCACCCACTGCAAGAGGTTGGAAGGCCCATGGGAAACGGTGGAAAAGAAAAGGCAGAGAAAAGGACCGAAGACGACGCATGAGAAGTTCGAAGAACAAATCAAAGCCCCATCCCCCGACACAATACGGATGGTTGTCAAAAGCAAGAAAGCTACAAGAGGAGAAAAAATAGTAAAGGAAATCCAAGAAACAGCTGAGCCGATTAGAGGGAATCTGAAGGTAAAGAAGATGGTGCCAATCAAAGACGGAGCTTACATGGAATTCAAGGCGGAAGGACTGGATCAAGTTAAACTAATAGAAGAGCTAGAAAAGAAAGGGCTGGAAGTAAGAGAACCGCTTCCCAGTAACACTTTAATAAGAATCGGGAGAGTAGACACGCAAACAACTGCAGAAGAAATGTACAACGACCTGATGAACAGATGCCTCAAAGCAAAAGGATACACAGAAGAGATTATGAAGGTAGAGGCGAAATTCCTAAGAGAAATCTCAGGAAAGTTTAGCAGAAGTATAATAATGACTGTAACACCAAGGATGAGGAAACACTTACTAGAAGAAGAATATGTCTACATTGGCTGGAGGCGCTGCCCGGTGGAAGACTACGCCGAAGTCACCCACTGCTACCGGTGCGGGGAATTAGGGCACCAGGCAGCGACGTGCAGTAACAAGGAGGTTTTTTTCAATTGTGGCTCAAAAAGGCACATAGCAAGAGAATGTAACAGAGAACAAAGATGTATCACATGCTACAGAGAGAATCCGGAAGTGAAAAAGAAGCACACTCACCTGAGCACCAAGTGCCCAATATAAAGGAAAGCCCTTGAAGCCGAGATCGGGAAAGCGGCCAACAGAAAAGGGATCAGCGCTGGCATCGAAATATGAAAATCGTACAAGTAAATATCGGAAAGAGCGAGGAAGGGACCAACGAGCTCCGCAGCTGGTGCGCAAAACAGAACATCGATGTTGCATTGACTCAAGAGCCCTACACAAGAGCAGACGGACTTCCAGTTACATGGCCTGGAGCAAGACTAATCTGCGACAGAACAGCAAGAACCAGAGTAAGAGCAGCGATCTACATATTCAACAGAAAGATAGATGTCTTAGCTTTAACAAACATCATGGATAGAGATTTGGCCGCATGCATGATAGAAACAGAAGAAGGAAAAATACTTGTAACAAGCATATATTGTCATAATACGAAAAATGCAACAGAAGAAGAACAAGCAGAAGAGATTAGAGAAAGAATAGAAAAGTATGAAGAACTAACACAGAAATACCCAGAAGTCGACTTCGTTGCTGGTTTGGACGCAAACGCAAAAAGCCCTATGTGGTACAGCAATAAAACAGACACCCGGGGGGAGGAGATGGAGGAAGCGCTCAACTTCATGCAGAATTCACATGTCGTCAACAAACCAGGTAATCCAAATACCTACAGAGGATATAACACGAACAAAGAGAGCAATATCGACATCACCTTGACCTCTGAAAATCTAATCAACAAAATTGAGTGGAAGGTACTCAAGGACGGAGAAAATATGACTCTAGCAGACCACAGAACGATTCTAATGGAGATATATGACCACGAGATCAACAATACTCCAAACATCACCGGAAGGATCAGAACGGACGGCACAGACTGGCAAAGATACCGGGACGAACTTTCGATGGCATGGGAAACGAGAAGAGAGATAGATGAAACGAGAGACGAGTTAGAAGAGAGAGCGAAAAGAGTAACAGAGGTAGTAATTACAGTAAGTGAGAGAGTATGCGGAAGAGTCAAATTTGGAAAAGGGAGAGGAGTCAAATGGTGGGGAGCAGAGCTAAATAATCAGAAAAGAGAGGTCAGAAAAGCGAGAAGAGAATACGAGAGAGAGCCACAAGGAGAAGAAAAGAGGAAGAAAAAAGAGAGACTTGAGAGAGAGACGAGAAAATTCAAACAAATGATTAAAAAAGAGAAGCATGAGAGCTGGAGGAAGTTCGTCACGGAAACAGGCCGCGCCAATCCGTGGAGTATTATATACAAGATGTCCGCCAACAAAATGAAAACAGAGACGGTCCTAAGCGCCCTAAACACGAACAACGGAGAAGAGACAGAAACGATGGAAGAGACCCTCAGAAAGCTCTGTACTAAAATGTTCCCGGCAGACCCCCAGGAAAATGACACGGAGGAACACGCACGACTCAGAGATGAAGCTGAATACAACGAGAATACCGGTCCCGACGTTACGGAAGTAGAAGAAGAAGACGTGTTCCTCGGCTTGAGCGAAATGAATAACAAGAAGGCACCAGGGCCTGATAACATAGAAGTAAAGGTGATGAAAGAATCCTGGGGAGTACTAGGGGAAGAGTTGACCTGGATAGTCAGGAAAATACTCGAGACCGGAAGATACCCAAAAGACTGGAAAGAAGGAAAACTCGTAATTCTGCTGAAACAAGGTAAACCACCGGAGGAAGAAGGGTCGTACAGACCCATCACGCTCCTATCCGTAATTGGAAAAATGGCAGAGAAAGTAGTAGTGAGAAAGCTAAGAAAATGGATGACCGAGAAAGGAGTCCACAGCGAGAAGCAATTCGGCTTTACCCCAGGCAGAGGGACCACGGACGCCCTTTGCAAACTGAAAAAGGTAGTCAGAGGATCCATGAAGAAATACGTTGCGGGAGTGTTTGTCGACGTGAAGGGAGCCTTCGATAACGCCTGGCCTCCCCTCGTACTGAGCGTGATGAAAGATTTGGAGTGCCCCGGCAACCTATACAGAGTGCTGCGTGACTACCTCCGCGGAAGGAGCATCGGAGTGAGGAAAACACTACAGCGGTTTATCTACGAGATACAGAAAGGATGCCCCCAAGGAAGTGTACCAGGCCCGATAATCTGGATAATATTACCCCATGATTTCTTGCAGAGAGAATTTGGAGAAGGGGTCAGTATAATAGCGTACGCAGACGATATAGTGATACTCGTAGAATCCGACGATGAAAAAGAACGAGAGCTCAAGCTAAACGAAATCATGAGGGAACTGCGTACGTGGCTGAACAAAGCGAAGCTACAGTGGAGTCTCGAAAAAACTAAAGGGGTCCTCCTGAAAGGAGCAATCCAGAAAGGAAAAGGCTTCATCAAACACAAAATCGAATGGAGACCCCTGGTGATGCTAGACGAAGAAGTCCTAGAATGGGTAGATAGCATCACGTACTTGGGAGTACTCCTAGACCAGTCATGGCTATTCACAGAACAAGCGAAGAAAGCAGCGGAGAAAGCGAGCAGCGTCATGAGAGCAATGCAAAGAGTCAACAGAGCTACCTGGGGAGTCGGCTTTAAGACGATGAATGTGATCTACGAAGGAGCCTTCCTCCCTACCCTCCTCTACGGCGCATGCATGTGGCACGAACAGGTAGAGCAATCGCACATCAAGCGCACCATAAGAGCGGAGCAAAGAGCGGCCCTCCTTGCAGCAACAGCGGCGTATAGAACAACATCTTGGTTAGCGTTGGTAGTCCTCTGCGGCAAGCTTCCGGCAGAACGAATGGTTAGAGTGAGAGGAAAAGTGGAAGAAGGGAGATACGACCGCAGAATGGAAGGAATAGAGAACCCAGAGAGAAGAATGATAATCAGAGAATACGAAGACGAACTAATAGAGTGCGAATGGGAAGAATGGGAGGAAGAATACGCGCAAGTGGAATACGACGAAAAGATCAGGACCGGCACCACCGGTCAGATCAAAAACGTCAGAGTGAAAGAAATGATCGGCAATGTGAGAGAATGGGCGGAGAGTAAGAGAACAGTGGATAGATGGGCGGTCGGCTACGTCACCGGGCACATAGGGGTGCGACAGTACCTCTATAGGCTCGGGAAAGCGGAAACCGACCGGTGTGAATATGGAGAAGTAGAATCCGTCGACCACGTCGAATGGGAGTGTGAAAGACACCTGAACGAGAGAGAAGAAATGATGAACAGAATGGGGGACGCTGATGGGGGACGTAGAGGAGATAACAAAGAAACTCAAACAAAAAAAAAGAATCGAAAAGAGCGACGCCAAGAATGGCACAATTTGGGCCAGAAGGGATTTTTCTGAAACCGGGCCCAAACGATACCTTATGATACCCTAAAACTCTGGTAAAAATTTTAGCTTGAGTATACGCACCGTTTTTGAGAAATGGGGGGGCAAAGTTGCCAAATCGCCATCATTCTGGACAGCATTTTTACAGCAAAAAGACGGGGAAAATGGACGAAAAAGTTACACTATTGATGGGTTTGGGCTGTAAATGTTCTTATTGAGCCCCCGTGCATGTAACTGTGTTCAGTTTCAAAAATTTTGGACGTACAGTGGTCCAAAATGGGGAGACATCGTGGACAGATAAGGATTCTTTGTCGAACTTTTTAAAAATGGAAGTAAAATTGTTGGTCTCCTACAGAGATCATGTGGAACAATGTTCTTATCGGTCTTCAATGCATTCAATTGAGTTCAGTTTATCAAATTTTCATCGCACGATGGTCCAAAATGGGAAATCAGTGGACAAATTAAGATCTTCTGCCTAACTTTTTAAAAATGATGTACGACTATTGGTCCCCTGCAGAGATCATGGGGAACAATGTTCTTATCAANTGAGTAAGAAGTTCATTCGCCGGCGAGTCTCTCACAGAGACGTAGTAAGACGGTAGTAAGAACTAGGCATCTCGTAAGAGAATTCCTTCACAATCACGCTGTGCATTTAAATGAGAGAGGCAAAGTAAGATTGGCGGACAAGTTGTTTTGGCTGTACGAGCAGGGTTAAGAGTCGATTGAACATATCGGGCAATTAGAACGTTCACCCTCTTCGTGGGGTCGGATTAATTTGTCTGCAAAATGTGTAAGCTAATGTATGAAGATATTTTTGTTTCAGATAGAAGGATGGCGAAGAGCACGGGGAAGTAACGGGAGAGAAGGGGAGAGAGGAAATAGGCTGAAGGAAGGAGGAAAGAAATGAAAGGGAGAATAGGAAAAGGGTAAGGGGGAGCGATACCAGCTTGGGTAACCAGGTAGGGGGGCCATGGAAAATAACGGAAGGGGAAGCAATGAGGGGAAAAAAAGAGTGAAGAAAAAAAACGTGATGAATGAAATGCGGCATCGGGACTCTTGGGGGGTTGGTTTTCGAACCATGAATGTAATATACGAGGGGGTGTTCGTTCCGACAACTACATATGGAGCCGGCATATGGCATGAAAGAACAAATCAGTCACATATCAGGAGAAAATTAAGGGCAACACAAAGAGCGGCAATGATAGCAGCATCGAACGCTTATTGCACTGTTTTCTTCGAGGGAATAGTAGCGATATGCGGAAAACAGCCCCTGGATGCACTTACGAGAGTCAAGGGTAAGGTAGTGGAGGAAAGGACAGAACTTAACGAAGAAAATCTGGAAAAGTCCCTGGTAAGAGCGCTGGTCAAGGAATCAGAGAAACGTCTATT